CTTGCTACATTCTATGCGTCTGTTTTATGGATCTATTTGCATTTGTTCTGTGGATCATATGTTTTTCATCAACTGGTTTTTGTTTGATTTACAAAATGCATTTTACTCCAGTTTCTTAACGACCAGTACATTCTGTTGTGGACTTTAACATACCTGCATGCAAACTTCTGCTGACATGATTTGTAAAAATATCTTAATAGCTAACATCTGTCATGGATTTGCTGTTGTACATAAAGTCTTCATTTTAAGACTTCATATTTGATCTTTATGCTCCTTGCTCTATATCAAGATTGGGAATCTTTTAAACATGGAATGTTGTGTTAAATTAATTAAGTGTATAATTTGTCTTGCATGTCTGTTTTTTTTGTATTGAAACACTTTATTTCTATTTTTTTAATATGTTGAATTGCACAAAATTTGCATTATCTGCATCTTCTTAATTAAGGCAGCAATAGTATACAGTGTTGTTATGTCTCAGAACTGATCAACATGATATTAAATTTGAAAGTCTCAACTTGATAAATGGCATACTTTTTTTGACAAAGAACATATACGAACAACCACTTCTCGAGTCATAATTATAATGTTTCTATGTTTAATATACAATTTCTTTTTTTAAAGGTAAAAGCTCTTCTTGTGCAACTTTCTTTATGTGAATATGTTTGCTGGAAATAAAAGCCTTTTTTGGTCAGAAGTTCTAACATCTTAAACTGTTCACTGTAGGATGAACTAATATGTTAATTTTCTCTTTAAGGTGAAGATGTTGTGTTGTTATGTTTGTAAATTTGTTCTGTATCTCAATTTAATTGACTACATTAATTTCTTTTGACAGAAACAACCCGAGATTCATCTATTTGCTGCCAGGTTCAAGGAATTAAGTGGAGATATCGTGGGGGCTCGTACACAGTATCAGATTCTTTACTCTGAAGTCTCTCCTGGTCTGTTGGAAGCCTTTGTGAGACATGCAAACATGGAATACCGGCTGGTATTTATTGATCCAGATTGAAGTTTCTACTTTTTGAACCTTGTCCCAATTTTAACTGAATTTCTGATGGTATACAGGGTGAAAAAGAAGCTGCCTTTTCTGTTTATGAGACAGCTATCAGCACTGAACAGGGAAAGGAGCAGTCCCAACTGTTGCCGTTGTTGCTTGTTCAATACTCACGTTTTCTCTATTTGGTAAGCTGTTCATTCTCAAATTACAAGTTTCTCAAAAAAACTTGAGTTTAGAGGGAGAAGCAAGTATTGGATTCTCTATAATATATTTAAGGGCATAACCTATGACGAAAGAATCATGAGCAAAGCTTTTGGGCTTCAATTTCGTGCAGCATGAGTTTATCATTTTTTTTGGCTAAACTTTGTATTTTAGTGCTTTGAAAAAGTGGGCATTATACAGTTCATTCTTAATGGATGATTGTGCACTTTTTATATGATAATCAACTGATGTGCAATTGATCATTGTTCATCCATCATAGGTAGCATTTGGAATTTAAATAATGAAAGCTATCTGTACTCTGTAGTGTAAAGTTGTTTTTTTGTTTTTGGCAAGAACCATTTAAAAATCGTCCTTTTCATTAACTAAACATCTATAAAATACTAATTGTCAAGTTTATGTGTCTTCTATTTAGGTTGTTGGTGATGCAGACAAAGCAAGGGAGGTGTTATCTGGACATCTTGAGAATATGCAACTATCAAGACCAGTTCTTGAGGTTTATTTGTTAGATTTTGATTTGGTTGCATATTGTAAACTTGTTTCTCAGAGTTGTGTGGTAATGTTGTTCCTGTTGTCTGTGCAGGCTGTTATCCACCTAGAGTCGATACAGCCATTACCCAAACGTGTTGATTATTTGGATTCACTGGTTGAGAAATTTATTACCCCGAACCCTGAGAATCCTAACTTTGCTAGCACCATTGATAGAGAAGAGATTTCTTGCATACTCTTGGAGGTAATAGTTTTATATCAACACAATTAGATTTTGCATTTGACCAAGGAGTAGTTTACCTGCGCAAGGCTGAGTTTTATTGTTATGGAACATTTCGGTTGACATGTTCGTACGAGTTTATTTGTTTATGTGATTGATCTGCATCTGATAATGCTAATTCCTAGTGGCTATTTATTACTTTGTTTTACTTGGTGGTGGTTTCCTGCTCATATTGCACATGATTTAGTTCTATATCTTGGAAGTATGCTATACATTCCTTTGTCATATTAGGTTATGGGTAATTCTGAATCTTCTTATTGTCAATCTTTTGTAGACCATATTCTAATTTTTTGTTGCCAGACTTGGATTGGATTGATCAATATCACACACATGTACAATTGTACATGGTGGCTGAAACTAAAAAGTATGTACAAAATAGAATATCAGGTATCTAGATGATGCTCACACATTTCCACTTATTTTTTTTAATAATTAGATGGTGGTGCTTTACTCGGTTGAGGTGGCCCATATTTTGAGTTGGTACAAGTTCCAAATGTTGGCCAACGAAGTCTTGCTGTATTTGGGATTCAACAGAACACAACAGTTCGGTCCTGGATTATATTTGGAATTAAACAACGCGGCTTGCATTTTTTGGATCTATGTATTATGAACAAGGCTGTAAATGATCCATGTAACCCTGAAAGATTTACCTAATTAATCTCCTGATGGAATATTTTTGGCCCAAATATCATTTTGTATAACCTTAGTACCTTGAGTTAGTGGAATGTCAGGAAATGATTGCTTTTTGCTATATGAACACTACCTTTATGAGGCCTAAATATGCATTTTACATAATCAATAATTTCATCTTTTTACTAGTGTTAGATTATGTGGTTCTTGAGAATATTCGTGGCCAATACTTTCTGATGCTTGGTTTTGATGTAGTGACATACGTTTGTTTCAGCTGAATACATATTGGCTTGATGATTTGAAATGCCTTTGATTTGAGGAACATTTGGAGATCTTAACAAAATTACAAGTTTGACTTCTTGATTGTCTATGAATAGGCTACTTTGAGGGATTAAATTTCCACTTGTGGTCCATACACTGCTCAACCACTAGTTTTTACATACCTCTCTCATTATATTATGTTACTTGGTTTTACGGAATCAAGGGACAGTAAACAGTTTGAGTAGCATGAAAGTAATTTGCTGGGATATTCTTTTATTCACTTTCCTGACTGATTTTTTTGGGCTAAGATTTTTTCTGTCACATGGCACATCATGGTTAGAAATTTATGTTGTTCATATTTGGAGAATGTCGATTTTTAAAACTTTATACTAATTCCATAAGAAAAACGCTAATACTTTTAAATATGGTTGTATTTGTTGTGAATTTAGTACTTTAAAAGCACGATCAAGTGGTTGCTAGTTTCTTATATTATAGCAATGTAGTAGTAACATGGTAAAATAGAAATACTAACTAGTGTGGTTCGATTTAGTTTTTAATTTGTACCATCTTTTTGAAACACATGCAAATGTTCCTATGTGGCATGAAATTTATGGTGCATTTAGGTTGTTTTTTGGGTACTTACATGTTACATCTATTCATATTTTCATGCTTTGATGGATTTACTGCTTGCAGCGAACCATTATGGGTATGGTAACATCCTCATCAAAAAATGGGCATCAATCCAAAATTTTCTGATACTACCATTTTACATGATCTGTATTATTAAAAGCCTACACTATTTTAATAATTTTGGTGTTTAATTTATTTTTGGAGGCTTTGGATGAGAAAATAATTTACATTAAGAGAAGATGTCAGATTCTTAAACAAGAATGATCCAACCCCAAATTTCATATGGCTGTCCTATAATATTCAGGAGTGATGAGGCATGGGCAATCAATTCATGTTCATTTACCTTAGTCCGTACATATTTTATTAGCATGATTTTTCATGTTCAATTGTGTACAGCTGATGTTAACTTATTTTTGCTGAAGCCTGAGTAGTAAAGAGAGCTAGCACATGGGTATGGTTGATTACAAATAGAAAGTTGTGTTTTGAACTTCTGATTATCTAAGGGTTTTTATTTACAGCTTTTTGGATGAATCAAAATAGACCGACTATTTGTATATTTCCTAGTTTTGGTGCTTCTAATGCATTTGTGATATTGTTAATTGCTTGTGTGGATGGCTACTCAGGAAGTTGTATGTGTTTATCTTGTTACAATTCACACATGGAATTTAAACTCCATTGACCGACGATTCTTTACCTGCACATTCATATATTTTGATAGTCCAGTTTCTTTTGTCTCTCATCTGGATGCTATTGTGTTTTGGTGTAATTGTATATGTGCGTTTATGATTCTGGAGTTGCTAAATGGGAATAGGAAAATTGACATTTTGCCGAACACAAACCATTCTGAGAAAAAAAGGGTTAAATATGCCATCTGTAGTATATGGTCAGCTTTATGGTTAGACATATTGCTGTTGTTAAATATACTTATAATTAGGCCACTATTTTTGGGCGCAACTTGGTGGACTCGTGTGATATAGCTCTTGCAAGATGATGGATATCCCATCATAGTTCTTATTATTACAGACAGCTCATATGCAGAGAGTTCTGCATCTTGATGACAAGATCACATTTTCTTTTCTTCATTTCATGTTTCCGTCCTTGTCAATCTGTTGCATATAAATTGACTTTTGTACATATAGTCAAATATACAAGTGTTTTAGTTTGTTTTAGAACATTCCTTATATGAACTTTTCTTTATCAGTTTTTGGATCACTTTGGAGATGCACAGTCGATAAAAAAGGCCGACAACCGGCATGCTCTGCTTTTTCAACGTCAGAAGAGCATGCTTGTATCAAAAAAGCGTTATGCTGAAGATTTTCTTTCTTCAGACAAAGCTAAAATGGCTAAGAACTTCTCAGAACCAGGTCAGTCAGTGATGGGAGCCTATCCAAATGCTCAGAGCCAGTGGCCAGCTGGTTATGGACAAAAGGCTCCAGTATGGCCGACGACAACCCAACCACAGGTTCAATGGAATCCTGGATATGCATCTCAGGTATGTTACATCAGCTTTATCTGGTTTCTTAAGTCAGGTGCACTGTTCTTAGTGCCTGCACTTTTAAGTATTATGGGTTGTGCAGCTATGGCATCTCTCTAGTCTTTCCAGCCTTTGAATTTCTGACTCTTGTGCTTTCTGGAAGTCGAGGCTGCATAAGTGCTTTTTGGTATTTTTACAATTTGTGACCATAACATGCCTCCTGAATTTGATAATGACACCCGAAAGCCTCAAGTAAATTTACTGAAAATGATAATTCACCAATTTTTTGTTTGTTCTTCTCGATCATGTTTGTATACATGGATCATGAGCTGTTAATCTTCAATCTTGTTATCCCAGGATATTTCTAATTGTTAACTTCCGAAGTTCCTTCTTACAGATGCTTTGATGTGCTTTGCTTTATTGGTTATGTTGTGTTATTTAGTGTTTGTTGCTCCTATATGTTTATGTGGTTTCACAAAACTCAAAATTTTCAGGCTGGATATGCTGCATATGGAGGTTATAGTAATTATGGTCAGCCACAAGTTGCCACATCAGCTCCTCAGGGCACTGCTTATGGTGCTTATCCTCCTACGTACCAGGTAGAGGTACTTGGTTCTTCCAGTTTTATCGAGAATGGCTGTCAGATATTTTTTATTTCTTAAACATTTATATCTAATCTTTATGTGCCTATGATTGGTGGAAACGGAACCAATATTCTTGGATGAACTTGTACATTTGTTTATTTATTCGTAAATTTTGAAATTTGGAGGAGCTATTTCTTGGATTCTTGGAAAAATTTAGCTTCCATTCTTTTTCGCAGTGAAATAAAAGGCTTCCCATCCCTCATTTTATCTGGAATTTTGGTTAATTTTCCACAAAATATGAGCTGCATCTGATCCTTTGCAGCTCTCCAGGGTGATATTTTTACAACACCCTGAGCATCAAATATTATTTTTCCATAGAAAAAAAAATCCTCAGCATACCTTTGTAATTGTTCTCCTTGTGATCAAGCAGAATCTCATTTCTGTAACTGGACTAGACATTTTACAATTCTACAGAATGCCTACATTTTTCGGATGATATGTATCCCATCAATCCTTTCATCTTCTCAAGCAAGAAGTTTAAACTCTAGTGGCATGTTATTGGTGCTTCTTCATTTAATGTGGAAATATTTTTAAGGGTGTGCAGCCTTTTATGCTTATAGGCATATACTTGCATGAACCATTAGGCAGTGCCTCTGTATGACACTTGTGTAGTCATCAAAACTTGGCATGTCCTGTCTAACACGTTAGGTGTTACGAAGCATATCAGGACTTCTTTATACAACTGTGCTTATTTATGTTAAATTGCTTTACATTTTGCACGCATATTTATGTTAAGCTATGTCGACGATACGCTTGTATTTTTTGGACTTCCGACTTTTTCTACGTTTTGTATGTATATGAAGTATTTTTTTGATCGTTTGATAATTATATGAATTGTTGCTGTGCTTCTATATATTATACTTGGTTTGAGGCTTTTTGTGGGGCTTAATTGGTCTGATGAGTTTGTTTTATTTGGGATCGGCATTGGTATTTGTCATTGAGCTTCGAAAGATTGGTCTGATCTGTCAAAATATAAAAATTCAAATATGGAATTAAGGATATTGAAAAAAGAAAAGTGAAACCTGGAAGAAAACTAAATTTTACTTTGAAGAACCTCCTTTCTCATCCTGTTTTACTTCTCTCTTTCTCTCTCTCTCTCTCTCTCTCTCTCACACACACACACACACACACACATTGGTGCCAAGTGGCCTCCACTTTATGGTTGCCTCTTCATGGCAGATATAGAAGTATTCTTTGGCATTGTCATAACTCACAGGCATTCAGGGGGACCAAAATTTGAAGCACTTAGCAAGGGTGCGTGTAGAAGAGCCTTGTGTTGTGATATAGAGGTCAAAGTGCCAAACACCCTGAAGGCCATGACTGTACATATCAGCCCAACCAGATTTGTTAATGGGATCATGCTGGATTAATTTATTGTAGCGGATTTCTCAAGGATTAGCTTATGTATTTAACTGCAACTGTTGGTGGGTGTATCCTTAACCTTATTTGATATACAAGTGCCTCGTGTTGTGATCATGTTGGATTAATTTATAATAGTTGATTTCTTCAGTATTAGCTGACTGTTCGTTGGTTTATCCTCAACCTGATTTTCTAGGTTCTTGGATCTTTGTGCTAGATTATTGTTGCTATTTTTGTGCTTGTTTATTAATAAAAGATTCTTTATTCCTTCTTATCAATAACCATTCAGGTCTTTTAAGCTGTCTGTGAAGCTCAGGTGTTTTTTCTGCTAAATAGGAACAACAGAATCTTTGACTTTAATTAGGATCCAAACTATATAGAGATTAATTTCACTCATGACACTGCTTGCTTGTTTTTTTCCATTGAGTACATGTCTTAATATGATTGTTGATTGTTGTTGAAGGCTTATCCGCAACCAAGTTATGCCCAGCCCACAGCAGCACCAGTAGCACCAGCATTCCCTTCACAACCAGCACCTGCTCCTCAGCAGTATTATGGAAGTTACTATAGCTGATCTTTGTAGACAACCAATGCTTCTTGGATAAGCCAGGTTAGTCCTGTTTCCTTTTCTTGGCTGTCATCATCTCAGGTTCCTGAGTTTCATTTTGTTTCTTTCAAGTGATATGCTAATGCCATGACAAATATTTGGTGGCAGGAAGGCTGCGCAAAATCCCGAAGAATTGATCCGACTCTCATGCCGACTCTTTGCAAGCTACATTCAGTTTTGAATTCAGCCTGCTTGTGGGTCCTCCAATCTTGGAGATCCTTACGGAAGCACTTAAGGGTAGGTAAGGTTATAGTAGGACTGCACTTAGGGGAGGCACTGATCGTATCTCCTGGAACATATTGCTAGATATTGCTCTTTTATGTTAGGTTTGTCAGAGCGGGATTAGTGGGACTGTGATCCTTAATGGAGTGTGTGTATTCTGAATAGTCTGTGCTTCAGTTTGTTGAACATTGTGATCATACCAGCTAATTACAAAGCTTCTTTTGTTGAGATACTAAATCAGAGAATATTCTGTCAAAAATGTATTGCATCAGAAAATATTTTGGTGTTTACGCATGATCTGGATGTATGGAGCCCCATACAAGTTTTATGGTTCTTTGTTTGTGTTGGGTTTGGATCTTAAGTGGATTTGCCCCAAATCTTTATTATTTCTGTTAGCTGCCTAGATTTTGTGGGATTCAACGAAGTGTAATATATCTACTGCTATTAATAACGCTTGTCTCATTGCGAAGAAAAGTTAAAAGCTGTCGGGAGGTCGGCGCTCAGAATGTTGTAACTTTTAAGCGCATGTTAATATACTGTAGGGAGAGTAGATCGATATAGAAAGAAGAATTCAGATAATCAAATGAAGTGCAGCCTGAGAAAATTAGGAACACAGGATTTATAAACCTTTTTAAGTTGAATCAAACTCGAAACATTAATTCCTTTATACATCATTGCATGTAACATCAAGTTAAAAAATTTTAAAATCAAAAAATAAACAAAAATTGTTTTGTTTTATATACCATAAATTCAAGTATTTCCTCACAATTAACCCTTTTGTCAAAATCTAAAACAATGTAAATATTTATAAAAAAATTAAAATTATTTTTTAATTTTTTTTTCTAATTGAATATCTCGTCCTACGGTAAAATATTCGGGCTAATTACATATTACCCCACCTTCAGACATCTCGATCTTTAGATTTAAAAATTTATATTAAAATCTTTATACTTATGAAAACAAAACATCTAGTTTCGTATATTTAAAAATTTATATATTTAAAGCATCTAGCTTCATATATCATAACACTATCGGTTTTATCGATAAAAATACGAAAATAAATAATAAAAAAATAATTTTAATGTTTCCATCGGTGATGGTGGGCGGTGTTGATAGTGGCAAACGATGAGGCTGTTGTGGTGAGGGACGCTTTGCATTTGTATCGACGTTGACACATTTGCCTAGCGACCCTCGGCATCTGTATTAGTACCGATGCAGATGTAGAGCGGTGCCACTCTGCATCTGTATCAGTAGCCCTTTCGTTGCTCGGTAATTATGTCGATGCTGACGAAGATGCAAAGTGGCATAATGGTTGCTTGAGTGGCTGTTATAAATGAGGAGAGTGATGGTAAGAGGTGAGGGCCACTTGACAACTACATCGGCGTCGACGTAGATGTAGAGCAACTCTCATCTCTCGTTGTCGCTCTTCTCATCCACAATAGCCACCAAAGCGATCCTTTCACTGCTTTGCATATGCGTTGACATTGATGTAATTGTCGAGCGACAAAAGAGTCACCAATACAAGTAACATTGTTCTACATTTGCATGGATATCGATGCAAATATAGAGCAAAAGGATCGCTTGACAATTGCATCGTCAATGCAGATGTAGAGCGATGCTCACCTCTTGTCGCATGTCATCACCATCGATGTCGCATGTCATCACCAATGAAAATATTAATTTTTTTATTTTTTATTTTTATATTGATAAAATCGATAATATTATGATAAATAGTTTTATTTTTTATAACTATAAAAACTTTTCCCTATGTAATTATCCCATAATAATCAACCCAGGTTTCGATAGACGGAATTTGATCTCGCAAGAATGGCCTTTTGGCACTGAGGTGCATCAAACCCTCGGTGGTAGTTTCAAGCGACTCCAGCAAACCCTCCTCCTCGCGGATTCGAGTTGTCGTATCGTCGGAATTCATGGCTCCCGATATTGTCGATATTAGTTCCGATGAGGATGAGTTTGATGGCCTCTCCTTACCTCGCGCGAACGGGCGGCGACAGGAGGAATCTGATGATGTCGTGGTCGTAGAAGAGTTCTCGGCCCCTGCCGTGAAGAGGCGGAAGCAGAATTCGGGCTCGTTTGGGCCGGAGAAGGGCGGAGCCTCTGACGACGATGACGACTGCTTGGTGTTGGATTCCGACCCGGATAAGCTGGTCTCGGTAGTTGATGGTAAGGGCAGCGGGGGTGGGGACGGGGGAGATGACTTGCTCATCGTTGCCGAGAAGGGGCAGGTGGGGATCGTTCTATCTTTCTTTGATATTGTTCGTGCTTTAATGTATTCTACGCGTAGGGTTTGTGTTTCGTGCCTGTTTTTGATGTCTTGCCTTTTAACCTATCACAATAAACAGCTTAAAATTTCGAAAGAAAATTTTTGTGGCTATTGAACTTTTTTTAATGGGCTTAGAAGCTTGCTTGCCTTCTTGTTTATGGTTTAGGGCAAACGATTCTCCATTAGGTTTAGCACCAGTGCTTTGTGCATTATGAACCAAGCTGCTAGAAGTTTGCTCCCTCCTGCCTAGCTTCACTGAACTTGACAACTTGGGAGCCCTGAGAACCTACTCAAAGCTTACTGAAATAGCTTCGCCCATTCCAATCTTGGCTCCTCAATGACTGCACTATAAATGACATGCCTCCTCTCTTGGTTTTCTTTGCATTGGATTAGCCTGAATGAACTGATGAAAGCAATGCGCCTTGCACTTTGAGAAGAGTCTTATGTCCGGTTTCTGTTTCTGGTCTTTATAGTCACTAGAAGTAATTTGCATGTGCCATCTATCATGGCTGGGTTGCATGATGCATTTACGATCAGGATGTCCATTGGAAGAAATACATATGGAGCTTGAAAAATGAATCCTATAGTATGTAGACTTAATTATAAAATATACAAATGTTCTTTAATTTTAGACTTGATCTTTTGCGATGATCATAAATCCTCTAAGCATTTGTCCTATATTCTTGTTGAGTTTATCTTGTTAACTAAAAACATGCTGGATCAGGATGGAGCACTTGATGCTATTGCCCTCAAAAGGTCCTGGTAGCATATGAAGTGTTCTTTTAGTTTTTTTTAATGATATCACTGTTTTCTTTCCTTTCAATCCAGACTTCACTTATTTTGTCTCTCATATTCTGTTACTACATCTATGTGTGCATCCATCACATGCACAGAAAATGTTCTTATGATGTTGGTGTTTATAACAACAATATTTTATATTGTCTTGCGTAATCGTGATAGGATGCTGCCAATCGTACAAAAATATGGGAAAGTTAATGCCTTATACCCTATCTGTGCAATATTTTACCGTAAATCTACACGATGCTAAACATTTGGAATGCCTTCCTAGTGGCTTCTGTTTTTTGTTTTCACAGCAGGACAATGTCATTAGGTCACCTGCTCATAATATGGGGAAGGAGTGGACTCTAGGGGGATGGAAAATCAGTCACCTGTTCACAAATTTTTGCTTCCCATTCATTTCCAGTTGTCCATCCTGTCCTAATTCCTTCTGTTGTAACTGGAATCTGTCTATCAGAAATACAGAAAAGATGGTTCTATTGCCAAATTGCTTGAAGCTTATGCCATTGCCAGTTTTGAGGAGGGTGACGGAGGACAAGGAGGAGAAGAAGAAGAATACGTACCAGGTAACGACCCATGATGAGCGATAGGCAAGCGCCAAGCGGCAGGTGAGGGGTGGTGCGGCGAGTGGCTCCTGAGGAGTTATGACACATGAGAATGGATTTCTGGCCCAAACACAGGGATTATAAAAAAAAAACTTAATTGGGCCTCTCAAGGTAGCGGTTTGTGTCTCGGTACATGTCCGGGCAGGACCACTCAAAAAGGGGCAGTCCTTGTCTTAGTTCATGCCCGATCTGGTAAATACCGATCAATATGAACTAGTCCAGGCAGTTTTGAATTTCTTGTAATGTACTGCTCATATGCTTTAGTTGTTAAACTTACGGTTTCTGACTGTTGATGGAAGGCATTTGTCCAAATCATGTGCAAGTATAGGGATGAATTCTTTTATGGAAAGGGCATATTCTTCAACTTAGCTTCAAGGCAACACATTCCACCTATATATAGCCATTTATTCATTAAGATTAGCTTCTTCTCTAAACTACTTTCTAACTGAATGTTCATTTCTAAATACATTGTGGTGAATTTCAATTCAACACTGACTGGTAACATGTTCAAGCAGTTTATTACCTTTGTGTTCCCCATGTTTGTTCTTTTGATGCTTGACAGGTTTAAGAAAAAACAATCTAAAAAAACAATCTAATAAGTAGCTTACCAAGCAGTTTAAAACTTGTGGTTTTCCTTTAATTCATTGTAGTTCATTCATCATAACTTTCTAATTTTATATACTGCACTCCCATGATGGCATATCCATAAGTGGTTTCCGTTTATTCAACAAGAGGCTGCAAAACTATATATTTTTATTCTTGAAATGGACTCGGATAACCTTGGCTATTTGTTGCTATCATGATCATGTTGTGAATTTACCTGAAAACTAGACCACAATTTTCCTAGTCTTGAAGGTAAATTTCGAGATGAACAGGCCAAAGATCTGAATAAAGTTGCGATCCTGTAGTCCATCGTATAGAACCAATATCCACTAAAAATAATAATGATACTTTTTATTTATAGAGTTAGATACAAGGCCTCCTTTTAGAACCTTAATGGGAAAAGGGGAGCGCATTTCTGTTGACAACAATTAAAAAATGCAACAAAGGAGGCCATAAATACAGACGTTACTTGGGTGTTTCCTTTGGCCTGCCTTGAAAAGTGGTGTAGACATAATTCCTTCCACCTAATTACCTTCTTCATTTTCTGTTGCTTTAGGTTCTAAATCCTCAAACATAGCATAGATTCTATGTTGTAGTCATTCGGTTCTCAGGTTCCTTTGTCTTCTCTTTTTTGATTGATGTTGCCTTATTATTCAATTACATTTATTTCTTCTAAAATGAAGAAGTTACTTTACTGGGAATTCTTCTCTTCAATAGGGATGCATGCTTCTTCTTTTGGCTTTGACCTCTTTCTATGACATAGTAACCAACTAACTATTGCTTTAAATGAAATTTATTAATTGCTTTTGACCCTCTTTGCAATTATATAAAGTCAAGAGAATTATGACGGTTATAGAATGTAGGCTTGAATTGTGTCACTTGCTTTTTTTTGCTTTTTCTACTTGCATAAGTGAGAGAATAGAGTATGCCATGGCTGCAATGTATTTAGTTGACAGCATTTACAAAATACCTATTTCCTGTAAGCCTCTAGCCATCTTTATTTTTTCTGCTGCTTCAGCTTTAGTTGTGAATTATTATGTAGGCACAGCTTTTTTTCCTTCCTCAGATATTTCAATGTTGCTTTTTGATTGTCTTGATTTTGTATTTTGTGCTCCGGATGGGGTAAGTGATAAATAAATAGATCACCTCACTACGTGAGAAGGAATAATTGTGAATATTTTCTTGAAGTCTTAGCCGCACTAGATCTGAGCATTGGTATTGTGGTATTGTAAAATGGTTACAATTTCAGTTACTATATCGTTACAATTTGCCAATATCTCTAAAACAAAGTTGTTTACGGGCTCAAGGCACATTGGGGTACCATATTTTGTACGTTTGTGTGAAGATTTTGTCTACTTGAGAATTTATATGTTGGAACAGTTCAGCTAAAATATGAGACCCACAGAAATAGGCAAACTTAACCTTAAGTTTATACGAAGAGTTTGCGTTTTTTTTTTTAAAGCGATTACAGCCTTTTCTTTGGGTTATTAAATTTTCTTCACAAATAAAACTCGTTACATTTTATTTATCTTGTATGATGTCATGTCATGCATATTTAACTTGTCTGCTTTAAACTAGCAAGAATAAACATCCATCAGTTATTCTATGAAATCTATTCAAAAAGTTCATTTAGCCTTTTTAGATTTGTTTCTATTTAATTTCAAGTTACATGCAATTACACATGCAACGAATAATGTGAAATCTACATTTACATGCAATGAAATGATGGTTATATTTAATTATTTCTTTTATAGTTGATGTAAAAGGGCTTCTGATTTTTTCTTTCTAGCTCTTTGGTTCATTAACATCATGGAAGCAGAGAGCAAAGTAGAAAAAACAGCTCATTTTGCTAAGTTTGTATGTTTGTTTTCAAGGGAACAGTTGAGAAAATAAGTTTCAATCAACCAAGTCTTGATGCATGGTTGTTTCAACTTTATTTGATTGACACAAGCAAATATACTGAAGTAGACTGAATAATATATGCAGCAACTAACTCTCTAAAATGTATTATTTACATACAAAAAATGACTGGGAAATTTGGTAGCACAAATTCGCTGCTGTCTCCTGCACATTCTTACAAGTTAATTTTACGTTATCCATACATGTGGAAAATAGCCTGTTGAATGTTTTATTGAGAGTGTATTGAAATGGAGCCGTTTGAAAATGTATCATGCACAGACCAGAAAAACTTGGTCGAGGATGCGTGTGCAATGAAACTTGGAACCTCAGACAACTCAAATGAGATTGGCATCCTTTATCCTTGTGATTCATATTATAGATTGTGAGCTGATCTTTCAGGATCAAAACTTGCTGTGTTAAATTATTGAATATTTGAAGAAAATTTTTGGAGCTTATTTTCTAAATGCTTATGTTGAGATGTGCAGCTTCTTCACTGTTTAATCCAAGGTTCGCAATACCGTACCGTACCGGAGTTTCGACCTGGGCTCGGTACCGGTACGGTATGGTATACCGCTCGGTACACCCAGGTGTACCGAGCGGTATATTCAGGCGTGCCGAGCACTGTAGCAGTAGACCGGTAACAGGCGGTCCGCGTACCGGAAGCCTGTCGGACCGGTACGTACCGCCCATACCGGGCGGTACGGACCGGTACTGCAAACCATGGTTTAATCACCAAAAGAGACATACTATATTATTCTTAAAATTTTTTACATGCAGTGGCATCTTTACCTTTGTTAGTGAGCATCTGATTATCTTTTGAACCATTTGTATATCTTTATTGCAGTTGGCTTGCCGGGATTACCCACATCCACGACATCTATGTGGCAATTTTCCTTTTAACTCATCACCACATGAAGAGTATTGTGACTTGGTGAGTCCACTGTCTTGAGGTTATATTCTGATTTGTTGAAAGTTTGTGCCCATGCTTTATCTGTTAAAAGATCTGATTTTCTTTGGCAATTTGTTCTCTTATGCTTTAATGCATGCCAATTGGTTGATGCTGGCTTACTCAATGCAGTGCCATTGCTATGTCTGTGATTCTCCAGCCCCTTGCTATTACTGGGGCAATGGTAATTCAAGTTCCAACCATTGCCATTCTACTGATAAAGAAGGAAGGTGGAAATCAATGAGACAGTCTTTCAAACAGAAAAACATGGTGGCTACGCAACCACAGAAAGTTACATATGACTCTCCTTTTAATATCCCACCTTTTCGAGATCCAGTACCACCATTCCATCATTATCCAAGTCCTCTATTGGTTCCCCATTCCAGACCTAATTTGCTCCGGCCTTGTTCTGCCACTAGCATCCCAAACTCAAATGCAATCAACCAGAGGCACCAAGATCAACCTACCATTCTCTCTTATACCCGGAGACTTGGCCAGCAGCCAACCAAATCATGCTCACTTAAGTCTAATGTACAGATAGAGAGCTGTGTTGCTGGTTCATTAACTACTCAACTTGTGTATTCTCGTACAAGATATAAAAGGGTTGGGACGATGCGAGATGGATTTGCTAGCCAGACTAACCGATCTCACAACATTGCTTCGACTAAGAATAATATTCCCAGTGCTGTGTCAGAGAACTCTACTTATGCAACGATGACATCATGGAGACCTCGGAGCCCTCGAGTAGGACAACAGAGATCTCAAGACCTGTTGGGAACATCACCAGGTTCCTCAGCTGATCAGATGCAAGCAACTGTATCATCTCAATTTTCGAAGCCAACAAACCAGAGTTCTGTGTGCCCTCCGTTGACAGCAGCAGATGTTAGCCAGAAAAGTTGGCAGGATCTCCTGGCAAGTGTGGCATCTGAACTAGGAGTTGCTGTATGTAGTGACACTGACATCATTAACGTTCAACAGCCGCTTATGGTTCCATCTCTATCACTACCTCATGATAAGCCATTTTCTGAAACCAATGCAAGTCAAGACACTCAATCGGACTAATCTTAGTTTATTAGATTTGACTGCATAGATGGTCGAATGACACAATGGCTCAGATTTTAGAACATAGTCCAGGAGAAGTTCCTCGCCTTTCAACATTCTGGACATCCAACTCTGTGGTGTTCTGAAGCAACAAAATTTCAGGAGAGATGTCTGGATAGCCTGTCAATCAGCTATACCAGATCTGCTATATGATTTTGGTGTCTCAGGGAGCGAAGATGTGATGGCGCAGGTATAGGGTGCTTGAGCAGCTCCCAACTTGATTAAATTTCAACTCTGTCCTCCAGTGCACTTTGTCTGTGCAATATTCTGTCGATCTACTTGGTCTTTTAGCGGCTGCAATGTCTCCTCTGTATAATTTAACAGGGATTGAGTTTTATCTATATTTTCAGTTTCTATGAGACTATCCATACATATAGTTGATTTAATGAAGTTAGAGAACTCATGCTTGGGCAATGGTACATAATTCTGCAGTATCCAAGTTAAGATGTGGATGTCAGTTTCCAAGTAATAGTGCCATAAGTTGTGCAGCAAATTTTTATCTGTATGCTTTTATTTATGAATCTTACAAGCCTTTTTGCTTTATTTATTTCTCAATAGCAGCAGCAACAGCAACAGCAGATTCTTCCTATGTGTGATGACCATTCTGAACCTCATCCACCAGGGTCAATGTACTGATTCTGGTAAGATACTTGTAGCGATCTTTTCCTTTCGATCAGTATGGTTAGTCCGATGTGATATGGATGCAATATAATGAATACTGGTCTTGTTATGCATAAATGAGATGCCATACTTTCAGGATACCTTGTTAGCATTACACCTTATCTCCGTAATCCATTGGCATCAGTTCATGAAGTAATTTCATCTTGATTCTGTTGTTTGGCTTATTTAGAACTCTATACTTATATTTATTAACCTCTATGGAATTAGCTTCAGCAATAGCTGAAATCAGAGATATGCTTCATTTTATTTGCTCAACTTCTTTTCCCAATCTCCTTTTATCATTTATGGAAATTGAAGCCTCTTGACTTACGCTTAATTACTTGCAGGAAAGAGGGAATTTATTTGTACTCCCGTTATTTGTGATGATCAATCTCATCTTGTAGTCATCTCTTGGTGAAATGATGTGTGGTGCCCGGGAGACTTGCACGATGCACAAGATGTGGGATTCTTTAAGCAAGAAATGGTATGCCAAAGCTGATTGATCTCTTTTTTCTTTTGTTTTGCCTCCGTAGCTGTTATGTCCATTTCCACCAACATTTGACTTCCGTTCCTCCTGTTCGCTGAAAGAGAAGTTTCGCTGCCATTTGCAGGTTTTGACTTTGCTTCATCAATATGTTTCATTGACTACCTGTGCGTTTCAAAGTCTGCCTCCAAGAAGTCATTGTTGCCACTTCTGTAAGTTGTGCTTCGTCGTTTCCTTCCGTAGGAAAACATGATATCTTGTTAGTGTTTTTTAAGCTGTGGATAAGATATTAGTGAATCCTTTTCGGATAAGAATGTTGAGGCTGTTCTTTTTACTGTTAAGTGTTGCCATTAATATATAATGAAATGTAAAATCAAATAATATTGATATATTCTAGAGAAATGAGATGAATTAATGTGAAGCTAACGCCTTTCTTTCATGAGAAAGGTTTTGGGTATCTTTATGATGGGAAGTCAAACAACCAAATCGAAATAAATTTTAATTATGAACTAATTTTGTTTCAAGTTCAGAAAAACCAAATTTATGTTCGTCTGTACTAAACTATCGAGTTTGGCCATCCCACATTGACTAAATCATTTCAGAAAAAGTAGAGGCGACAGGGACATTGATAGGTTGACCTCTCTTATATGGGGCCCGCATATTAGATGTTAGATATGCGAGAGATGATGATTCCATACACATGAATGAACACTTCAGTTTTCATGAATGATTTAATGCGTCTAAATCAAATTTGTTGCGGTACTGCGGCTCAACTTCACATTTTAGAAAGAAATCTTGCGAAGCACTAGAATCTAAAGAAACATTTATTTTGCTTTCATGCAGGCATCATTTAGTTGCCCTGTTTGTAGGCTGCCTTCTTTGACCCCTCTCCATTTCTGAAACGTTTGCATTCATCGTTGCATATGCATGTCATTTATTAGCCGCAGCGTGTGCAGAAGATATAAACTTCCTATCACCTGTTTCCCACCGTTAACCATGTTAAGCTTCTTGTAGTTTCTTTGTCTTTAGTTAGCTGAGGATCCGACCATCCTCCGATCCTCTCATCTTCCTATTCCTGACACCCTACGCTCCCGGAGATGACAAGTGACCGGACTTTGAAGATTCTTCCCAGCTCACTTTAATGGTCTCTGCTGCGTTGGGAAGGATTAGAGAGAGAACTGGAATCGTTCAAACCAGTTTCGAGAGATGTCTTCCCACCGTTTTTACTGTCGCCGTTACCTCCTTTTTGTGGTTGACCGAGCTTGAGGGTTCAGGACCACCATTGAATGCAGTCATTCAAGTGATCTTGTAGCCCCTCTGCGTTTGTCTCGGCACCACAAGAGAGTTTACATTAAGATATCACATTAAATAACCACCACTACTGTTGCTGGAGCCTCCGTCACCGAATTCATTCCTATCTTCCTGAAAGGATCACTGGCCTTCCAGATTGCAGAATAAGCATCGAGTTCATTGTGTGTGTAGAAACAGAATCAAAGAGATGACACTGTTGCCGAGCCTCCCATCACTTCAATTCTTTCCCATCTTTCTGAAACGATTACAAGCCTTCCAAATTGCAGAATTGAGTTCATCTGTATATAGAAACAGAATAAAAGAGATGGCATTACTGATACTCCAGAATTGTCATCGCAAGTAGACAATGCACGAACGGAGAGAAGAGAGAGACCCATAACCTAATCTTTCGACACACACTGCCGGATTCACCGGTCACCACATAAACCCTATCACCCTGTACATATGCCCCTCCCCCCAGGAAAGGAACATGGAAATAAGACTATAGCAGGAAAAGAAAAGAACACGACGCACGTCTCGTTCTACCACAGTGCACAGTGCACAGTGCGGAATTAGTCAACCACGCCGCCCTCGGAAAAGAAAGAAACGATCCGTCAATGATTACACCTGGCTGGTGGCGGCAGCTGGAGTGGTCCTCGGCTCCACCCGGACCGCCGAGGATTTGACCATGAACCCGCCGCTGGAGCTGCCGTCGTCCAAGCTGGGATCCTCGTCGTGGTAGACGTAGGCGAAGCCGCCGTGCCGGGTGAGGTCCATCCCGGCCATCTCGTCCTCGGAGGAGATCCTGAGGAGCCCGAGCTTGTGGAGCGCGAAGAATAACGGGCCCATGGTGCAACTCACCCACCCGGTGATCACCAGGATCTGCACGATGTGGGCGGCCAGCAGCCGCCCGCCGCCACCCATGAACAGCCCGTAGGGCCGCCCCTGGCGCCCTGGATATACCTCGTTCACGTACTTCTCCCTGGCGAAGAGGGCCGTGAAGATAATCCCCCAGGCGCCGCAGCCGCCGTGCAGCTGCGCGGCCTCGAGGGGGTCATCGAACTTGAGCGTCGCGGCGAGCTTATTGAACCCGATGAGCACCCATGCGGAGACGAAGCCGCAGATGAGGGCGGCCCACGGGTCCACCACCGAGCAGCCGGAGGTGATTGCCGCGAAGCCGCCGAGAAGGCCGTTGCAGACGTCGACCACGTTCCAGTGGCCCGTCTGGAGGCGCTTCCCGAACAGAGTCGTGAGCGCCGCGGTGCAGCCGGCGAGGGTGGTGGTGACGGCAGTGCGGCCGACGGCAGACCACTGGCCATGGATGGAGCCGCTGGGGCCGTAGGTCTTGAAGATGGTGTTGAAGGAACCAGGGTTAAAGCCGTACCAGCCAAACCAGAGGAGGAAGGTGCCGAGCACCACCAGGGTGGCAGAGTGGCCGCGGAGGGCCACGGAGCGGCCGGCGTGGTCGAAGCGGCCGATGCGGGGGCCCTCGATGAGGGCGCCCCACAGCCCCGCGATGCCCCCCACCATGTGCACCACGCCCGACCCCGCGAAGTCGATCACCCCTGACTTGAACAGCAGCGACTCTCCGGCGTTCCGCCCCGCGGCAGCCCATCCGTCACCCGACCAAAACCTAACATCCATCATCACCATCGTCATGGGACCGATCATATGGCGACAAAAGCGAGATCCTAACATTAGACTTTCGAGATCCTAAAGATCAATACCAGTGGGAGACGACGGGGTAGACGAAGCCGGTGAGGAAGGAGGAATAGATGAGGTAGGCAACGAACTGGGTGCGCTCTGCGATGGAGCCGGAGGTGATACCGGCGGCCGCAATGGCGAAGGCCCACTGGTAGAGGAAGTTGGAGTAGTCGAAGCTGGGCTGCGGCACCTCCTTGAGGCCGAAGAAGTGCTTCCCGATGAAACCGTTCGAGGGGCCGCCGAAGGCGAAGGCGAAACCGAAGAGGTAGTAGAAGAGCCCCCCGGCCGCCGCGTCGATCACGTTGGTGAGCATGATGTTCATGGTATTCTTGGCGCGCACGGAGCCGGCGCACAACATGGCGAAGCCGAGCTGCATGGAGAAGACGAGATAGGCCGAGAAGAGGAGGTAGGTGTTGTCGATGGCGAATCCGACGTCCGTGAACTGGTCGCAGATGTAGCTAGCGGCCGCCGAGGAGTTGGCGACGCCGCCCAGGAGCGGCGCCAGATCCGACGAGCACGACGACATCTCCGCTAGTCCTCTCTTGGCCGGCCGCGTGCCCGATGGGGTAACGGAGGAGACGGGCGGGGATTGGAGTCGATTTTATAGGCCACGCGAGCGGAGAAAAGCGACATAAAGGGGCCGAAACCACTTGGGTATTCCGTAGCTCTATCGCGACACATATACGTATCATCGTCAGATTCTCGAATCTTGAACAGTTTGGTGGCACACAGGGATTCAATCCAACCATTTGATTCGATCTGATCCATCTCGATCCGATTTGGTTCGACCTCTTTATTAAGACCGAAATCGATTGGAATTCGGCTCGAGTCGAAAGTGTGTAATCGATCGAAGTTAATACACATCGTAGAATTCATAAGTACTTAATGACGTAATAACCTATCGATCACATTAAATGGGTTTATTTTGGGCTCGAATCTCAAAGGGACTTCTAAGTAGCAATCACGTAGGTAATTGCATGAGTATACGTAGGTGTGGAATCTAAGACGCAGAAGACGTGTACGGTAGGGGAAGAGAGGCTTCGATTAGATACCTTTAAACAGTGTGCCAATAGAACAACAACAACCGAAGCTTCGTATACAAGCAAGAGTATATTCTATTCTTATTTTCTTAAGATTCTTCTTTGTCTTTCTTGCCATAGTGTATGTCATTTGAGTATGGTTGAGAGAGTGCATAGGAATTATTTCTCTCACTTGTGGTATAGAATCCACAGTGGACTAAAAATAAATAGATCAGAGGTGGCACAAGGAGAAGCAATAACTCTTTTAATTTATATTTTGTGGCATTGGCTCTATTGTATTATTTATTTATTTATTTATTATTATTTTGTGGCATTGGCTGCTGATAACCTATTGCAATTTTCTCCACCCCACTTTCCTTTACCTTATCTCTTCTTCAAATTGTTTTCCACGTTGAATTATCTATATTGTATAATAGATTCATAATATTTTTATCTGATTATACTGTCATATTATTACCAATCAATAAATATATTATTGCACATATATTTGTTGAGATTTATAAATTAGATAATAAATTCGAATCAGAGAAATCAAGGGTAACATACATTAGATTTATTATCCATTTATAAGTTTAAATTTGACAGGCTATGTTACTTATTTCTTTCAATACTTAGCAATCTGAGAGTATTGTTCTTAGTCCTTTTTTTAAATCTTTATTTCATATATGAATATTTTTAATACATTATAAGTAAAAAAACTATTATGATAAAAAATAATATATATATATATATATATATATATATATATATATATATATATATATATATATATATATTCTTATGCTTTATTATTTGTGCGGTGTCTTAAGTCATATGATCGACAACACTTGTTTTCTCCGTTCTTGTCACCAACTAATATAATCCTTGCTTGATGGTTTCACCATCAAAAGTCTATTTTATTTTGACAGATAAGAAAACAATTGAATATTATAGCATATATTGAAGATTATTAATCAATATATTGAATGCTATCTTATAGATAATAGCTTTCGATGATGATACCACTCGAGAGTAATTCCATAGATCAGACAAGTAAACTCTTCTATTGGTAAGATCATCAGAAACTGGATTCCACATTTCATAGTATAAGATTTCTTAGTTTTGATTGGTGACAGAAGGGTTGACCAGAATTAGATCTTAGGATATATGATCTACATGCAAGTACAGATGAGTACTTGTGTGCTTGATGTGATCTCTCGAGAGATTGCATCTCCTTGTTTCAACTCTGGGTGGGGTGACAAGTGTCCGTCCTAATAAACAATTCCAACTTGGAAATGGGAATCTAACCATGGAATCCGAATGGCTCGACTGAAGAACCAATCAAAAGAGGATGTAGACTTTCAGAAGCGGAGATATGAACATTTGAAGATACAACTTTCGATTCAAGTTGATGTTTTCTTTCATATGATATGAGGCTGAATATTTATCAATATTCAAAGAGGAAGAAGAAGAAGGTTCACCGAAGATGTATAGCATTAACCTTTCACACATTACTAGTCTAATATATTTTCTTTCAACCATTAACCTTTGCATGCGATGCAATCTATGTTTATGGATGAAATGTATCTTTCAATATTGCATCTGCAACCTAATCTGATTCTTAGGTCTTCATCTTAGGCCCAGGTCTCAATCAACAAAGTCTAACTTTGCAACCTGGAAGATCATGCAAATGCAAGTTCTTAGCATAGATCTTGTAGTGTGTTCTTCGAAACCATTGGTTCATTCTTGTGTATCCATCATGTGGGCTGTGCTAATTATATTTTAGATTACTTGTTTATGCAGGAATTCCAGCCAGCCACTGAGATCTCGATAGGAATTGCTGCAGCTTATTTTATACCTATAGAACAGTTATATTTTAAGCATGTCATCATGAGGACCAGACAAAGGGAATCTCTGTTTTCATGGCTCTCAGTTTCATGATATTTTGTGTTAAGTTGGCTGTTGCTTCAAGGAAAAAAAATCATGCAGAAGTCAATGATTCTTGTAAGCTAGTGATATTTTTATTTGCATATAATATGACAAGAGATAAACCAATTCTTTTACCTTTTCTTAATAGTATCTTAAAATTCTTAATGCTAATGGGAAGATTTCCTATAAATATCACATATAAAATTCTTGATATTTCAATAAAATATGATATGTGTATATATCTAACTTTGGTGAGGGAGAACATGAGAAAACATTTGAAGTATTTTTAGGGTTTATCTTTAGTAATTTTTGGAGATGATGAGAGAAAATATGAGTAAATTTTTTGGAGTTTACGTGCGAGAGATATACAAAAAAAAAAAAGCACACTAATTTATAAGTTCTTCTCGTATGATTAAAATTTATTTTTTCTTCGTAAATGTAGGGAATGCCGAATTACCCATATCTTATATTTGTTATCGTGAGTTTACGCTTCATTATTGATTAATGAGATTATTATCTTGGTATCAAGGATTTTTCCTACTTGTACATAACGTGAAAGTTTGATGACAAGAAATAGAGATTATTGTAGTGAATGCACAAGTCCTGCAGCCTGTAGTGGTTCGAGATTGCCATTTGGATCTCTTTGTCGGAATAGACAGCCCACTCAATAGCTTGTGGCATTGGTAGAATCCAATACCAAACTAAACATTACCATCGAAGCTACTCGATCAAATGATTCAAGAACTTTTCCTTTCACTAATTATTCTTGCATGTTATTCCAATATGACTGACTTCTCCAAAGCATGATTCCATCATACTTAAAGCTATTAGAATATTGTTGTAATCTCAGCAAGCAAATATTCTTTCAGTTCATTCTCCACCGTGTAAAGAAGGTCTTCGGACCGGTAGTCTCTTCATTGCCAAGCTCGCTGAATTCGATGGAAGATTTCAGGGCAGAAGAACCAAATCATGCCGATCGTTTCTCGAGTATTCTTCGGATTATCTTCATGGGGACTGAGCATACGTTTGCCTCTTAGATTCTTGAACGCATCGATTGCTTTCAGATCTTCTAATGTTGGGAAGGCCAGAAGAAGAAAGGGTCTCATATGACAGACAGTGTCACCAGATGTAATCTGCTTGTATCAGTTTATTGGCCTTTAGTCAAGGTAGTGTGATGCTTCTACCTTGAGTTGATGGATCCACAATGACCAGAAACATTCATATGAAGCAGTGTTCATCAAGGATTTATCTCATCTTATCTATTCAGTGTACTTGAGAAAGCTACTTCTCACTTAGAAGAACATCAGAATATTGTGTTCCTTAGAAGAAGTTACATCTGGACTCAATTGTTCATTTGACAAAGCTGTATTTGGACCGAACTGTCCCGTTGACCAACGTAAGGTTTGCATTGGGGAAGAATGGGACTACGAACTAGTGCAATCAAAGGCGACTGCAAAAAGTCAACCACACACACACACACACACAAAAAGAGGCTTTGACCTCCTTATCGTTTTGTCACCTACTTCTGCCAAGTGGAGCTCAGAATCAAAGTCAAACCCTTCGAGGATTGCTGCATCTTCAGCAAGTACTGCGTTTTCTTATTTCATCGCGGTCAGATTACGTTTGAACGTACGGTTTTCTGATCACAACTATAAAGAACAGAGTCGTATAGAATTTTCTTGTATATTTAAACTTCTATTTCACAAATGCAGTACCTCCTTATGCAGGAAGGAAATTAAGATGAGTCTGCACAAAAAGAATGCTGAGAAAGGAGTAGCATTTCATAGGGTTTGCCTATCTTGAAGAACATCGTCTTTGTGGAACTGACTCGATTGGAGTCAGGCCTCGGCTCAAGTCAAGAGCTGAACCGGACCGGTTCCTTGGGTTCGCGTTAGAAACCCTCACGCAAGGAATGCGTGCAGCCGCGTGTGCCTGCGCCCGCGCCCTCACCAGCGTCGCCATCGCCCGCGGCGCTCGCCGCTACCCGCGCGCCAGCAACTTCCGCGGCCCCCGCCAGCGCCCGCCGCCCGACGCCTTCAACTGCATCGCCCGCGAACCCCGCCTGCGCCGCTGCTCGCAGTCTTCACTGCGGCTCGCACCGCCGCCCGCGGCCGAAGTCCTCGCTGCCTCCCTCGACCGTTTCACACTACGGTCGAGTCTGGAGCTGCAGCGATTTGGAAACCGTCGACCATCACTCATCTCGCGGGCGTACGGACGGCGACGAGGAACAGACGAGGAAGGCCAAGAGCCGTCGGCCCAACTTCCTTTCGTCGAGGAACGAGTGAGGAATACGTGAAGAAAACTTGGAAGATAATATTTTCATATATAGTTACTCATTTTTAATTTTTTTTATCAATTTAATTAGATTTATTATAATATAAATAAAAACAAATAAGACTTAAAATAAGATGATTAATATGCATATTCCAAACTAATTAAAATTAAGATAGGAAAGGTCTTATAATATTTTGACTACTATTTAATGAATTGATAATAAAATATTTATTAAGTTTAAAAATATTAATTAGACTAATGAAAAAAATTCTTCATAGTAAAATACATACTAATAAGGAATATATGAAATAAGATTATGTGAAACGTAAGGTTTGATTGAAAAAGAAATATATAAACTTGACATTTGTATATTTTAAATTAAATATTAAAGGTTTATTCTAATATTTGTTTGATTTATTACAGTACTTTAACTCATGTTACTAATAATATATAAAGATCTTTTATAATCTAAAAACTAAAGAATATAAAAAATTCAAAGAGTGATAATAGTATAAACTTATCATCTATGCCTAAAGTCGGGTTATCTTATGGATCTTACTACACTTGCTATGTTTGTACTATTTTTAAAAATTTAGTTTCTCTAGCTTAAATTGATATGTTAATTTTTTTTTAATAATAGTAGACTCTATATATTTTATAATTAATAAATTTATTTTAAAATTTTATATAATTATTTATACATAATTAATTTATATAAATCAATTATCATGGTTATAAAATTTTATCTCATGACTAAGTATGATTAATTTAATTACTAGACTACCGAAGATATTTTATAATAACAACATAATAGTTTTTTTTTCTAGGAATAAAAAAATACCATGGTGGTTTCAAACATATCAAGATAAAGTACTTTATAATTAAAAAAGGAGTCTAAAAATAATAAGTATTAATTAAGAACCTAAACATAATCTTTATGATCACTAATTCATTTGTTGGTGAGCAACTCATAAAAGATATGATGATACATATTTAAGTGAATATTATTATAGATTTTTTTACTTATTTAATTAAAGTTATTTATTTTTTTGTTATCTTATTTATATGTATTTATATAGATAATATAGTTAAATGTGATAACAAAGTTATCTTGATAAGATAAATTACAAGAGTAATTATAAATTATATTAGAAAAGACTAATAGTATTGTTGTATATAGAAAAAAGTATGATATTGATGATATATAATCGCTATGAATCATATTGTTAGTCTAACTTAATAAAATATTATTATACTTATTGAACTTATTGATTTATTTTAAAAAATAATGGTCATGGATAAAATATTTTTCAAAATTTTTAAAATTTAATTAGGTAAAATTATTTTCTAATAAGCGAAAGAATATTAGATTATGTAGTTCTATTTAATTAGATAAAATATATTATAGATCTGATTAGATTTTAATTACGGATGTCAGTCAATAATAAGGAAGTCAACTTCTGGTAAAAATTTGTATGAGATGATCTTGATGAGAGCGATTCTCCTAATTATTTTTCCTAGGCTCTTTATTTCTATTATAAATAGACCGGACCTCGTAGAGACTTAAATTCTTTACTCTCACTTATAAATAAATAGGATCTCATAAGTACTTAAAAATATACGTGTGACAACACATCATACACGTGATTATAGATCTTTTCTTGTCTTCCTCTAGTCTTATTTCATCGCTTATAATGATCATGAGCTATGATTATTTGATTTTAGTTATTAGCATAAAGTTTTCTATATAATAATAACATGATTATAGTTTTTTATATTTACAAGTAGTGCCTTATCCTTGCTTAACGACCATAGAAAAAAGAGGAAGAAAGTTGACTTTAGTCAACTTCGATCATGGTCAATAGATCAACTTTTGGTTAGCATGGATAATTACTTAATTTTCTTTTACTTCCCATATTAATTTTATTTGGGTAAATTTTTTGGGTTTTCTTTATGTTTGTTTTGTATTTTTTTGATGTTTGATTTTTTTCGTCTACTCATCAACATCTCTCTCATGACTATGTAAACTTTAATTCTTCTCTATAATCTTCATTACCACAAAGCAAAGTTCATCTCTATCATCTAGGATTTATGTTAGGGGAATGGCCTTCTCATAGTTGAAACAAGGGTTGGTCTTGAAAACTACTTGCCAAGAAGAGGGATACGTGAGAAATTTGGAAGTAGAGAAAAAAAAAAAGTCAACACCAAATTTGTGTTCAAAGGGTAGATTTCGGTATGACGGCAAGACTGCTGTTTTCCAATTTATATGATCAAGGTGCAAGAATAAGACTGCATCCATTGATCTTTAGCACCCAAGAAAATAGTAGCACCTGAGGCAGACTAGGATTGTTCATTGGCGCAGAGGTAGCCTTGGCTCATGGACCACTGTCAGTAGGAGATAGTACTCTAGATTACGGAAATAGCCTATAGGAGTCCAAGGTCTTTGCGGAGCAACTGAAACCTCCTTGAAGTCATACATTTCCCTTTCTCTCGCTACCCTTCTTCTTAGCACTGCTTTATTTACTTGTTGTCTTGCTCCTAATCAAATTGCACAAAAAAGAAACTCTTTGTCTCTTGGAACATCTAATAATCAGCTTTGTTTAATATTACTTGGCTTAACTTGGAAAATAAAGCAAGATTTTTTGGTTTAGGGGGATTCATATGTGGTCTACTTCTTTATTAAACCTGAAAACAAGGGCTTCGTCCTCTGTTTTGCTGTTCCTTTGTTCTCCCTGAGTTGATGATATAGATTATAGTCCGTTCTTTCTCTGCCTGTTGGTTCATATTTCTTGTATACATTGTTTGTTGCTGTAGGAGAAAGTCATGAGCTGCAAATCTAATTTTCTTCTGAATGCAAAGAGAAAGTGCTAGTCAGATTCCAAACAGCCTCATGCTGATCTAAAGCATGACGCTGAAGTATGTCAATTCAGGCATCCATCCAGGAGAACACTACAAACAAATTGAGCCATGCATGATGCATGACCCAGTGCCAAGCCACAACATCGATGTAAACATCTCCATCATCTCCGACCTTCATACCGAGCTATAAACCCTAGGAATTCGGTATATTCTCCTTGGATCTATCTTTACTTCCCCGCATTGGATTCCATTTGACAACTACCCTGTCTCACCGAGCAGAAGAAAACATGAACATGTATACAAGAACACATGAACGCAAGAGAAAATAAACCCATCATTCATATAATAGATTGCATGGCACAGAAGGCTGAGAGGGCTGTGGTGGTGGGTGGTCGTTGTCAAAAGAGCATTTAAGGCCCAGTCATGGGAATAAATAAGATTTCTTGGAACGCGACCTGCATTGACTGATAACAGGTGTTTGACTGGAATCGCAACCCTAAGCGCTTCATAAGCGCCAATATATCAGCTATAAACCTATAGATCATCAGAAGAGGAAGCTACAATGATGTCTCAGAAGGACACGAAAAGCTCTAAGGTGGACCAAACGGGAGGAGCGTTAAGAGGAGGACGAAGCAAACTTGTAGTACTTATCGACCGGTGCTGAGACATCCCAGGTGCAACTAAGTCCCTTGGGGAAGATCACAAGGTCACCAGCGCCGAACTCCACGGACTCGGAGGAACCCTTGATGTAAGCCGTCACCTTCCCCTTCACCAAATAGCACATCTCTTCTGCATCAAACTTTAGAGGGAACCTCCCCGGAGGGCAACCCCACCTGAAGAACAGTAGCAGTAGATTTGTATATACATAAGAGAAAACAACGGCACGGTAGCAGACTTAATAGCGCAAGGACGCACAGATTAATCTTCGGCCATCATAAACAGTTGTGTGATCATAATCCAAGAGAAGGAAAAGGTGAGAAGAGAGTCTGTATGTAAGCTCACTTGGGCCATGACTTGATGCCAAGTTCCACCAGGCGTGACTGAGGAGGGTTCCTCTCCACGGTGATGGAAATGGAGGGGGCGTCAGTCCCCGTGGCGCCTGGGTTTGAGCTTGAGGCCATGGAGGATCAACAAGGACGAGAGGACAAGGAGGAAGAGGACGATGCTGCTTTTTATATTGCGAGAGATGGTAGAGGGAATCTCCACGAATGCATTACGAGAGCTGTGATCTAATATTTTATTCGGACTCTGACATGTATGTGACCACAAGCACTCGATTGAGATATATATAGGTGAATTGAAGGTTAATGAGCACTGTATCGTTTCTGGTGGCAGAGCAACCATGGAGCAGTCCCCTGAAAGCTATCAAGTTGCAGCTATGAAAGACGATCTTTTAGTTGTCGTTACTGAAGAGATACACTTCTTGATTGTGGAAAATGATTGTGCATATTTATTAAGGAGAAAATAAGACAATCAACTTGATTGCTATTATCAATCCACTTGTGCGATGAACTGGAAAAAATTGGTTGAACCTAAGGATTTCACGTATGCTGGGAATCCATTTGCTTGGTCAAAGATATGACCGAGCGAGTTGACTCGGGACTCCGTTTTATCCTAACGTGATTTGAGTCAGCGACGAAATAAATATTAGTCTCCAGTGCATCCAAATCGGTAAATCAATAAGATATGGTTCGTTTGTCTATGCATCGTGTTGGCTTCACAACCGAGTCGACTCGGAGCACCCGAACCACATCCTGTATCGTTCAACGCAGTCCATACCGATCGGGTCAGCCAGTTGACCTCCATCGCAACCGACGTGGCGGCACCGCTCCCGCTGGTTCTGCTCAGCGCAAAGAAAACGTGATCTTATCTGTGATGTTTAAGCCATGGTTGTAAGTGGGTCAGATTAGGAGCTCCAGTTCGAGTCAACTCTGCCCTGCTGTGTTTACCGAAACCTGAGAAAGCCGGCCCAGTTACAGGAGAAGGTTTCCTCGAAGAGGATGGTACGACGTACCTTGGCAGACACCACCGTATCGTATATCTACTCCTGCCAAATTCTCTCTTGCTGATATGATCTGTAATATGAAAGGCTTGCATCACCTGCAGTCACTGCTTTCCTGCGGCCTTCAGACCGATGTGTGAGCCTTATAATGTTCAGGTATTGTTGGCCTGTCCTTATCACTTGCTTGCATGCACTTGTGACTATCTTCTCAGTGTTTTGTGTCATTCCTTTTCTAAGACAGTTGTGATCTGTTTCATTAATCTTCCTGAGCTCTGATATGATAGAAGTGCTCTTTTCTCTGTGCAGCCGTGAGATCAGAGGCCGCTGAAGGGCTTCACTGACATTAGATACATCCACAACTTTTGTAGATTATTATTCTTTCTTCTGTATTATATGCCAAGATGCAACTAAGTTATTGATGGAGACATAAAGAACTAAAAGAAGAGAGACAGTAGTGCTGTCTGGGCTACTTTATTCTGGTTCCTCTGCATCCAAGCTGAGGCAGAAGGAAGCCCAAAATGTTTATTTTTTCTTGCTAATTTCCAAGTAAACTTCCCATGAGGGGATAAAATTAATTTTAAATCTATCACAATTGTCTTTTCTTTCCTTGTTCTCGATGTAAAATTTAGGAAACTTCAAATGATATGGATTTCGACAACTTTTTAACTATCATGCTCAATGGAGCTGATGCTCAGTTTGATCTCCAATAAGAAAGATAGAGTTCAATCACAGTTTCAAAATAGTATGTATCTGAACTCTAAGAGCAGGTTTAAATCCAGATCTCTTCATTACACCACTAATAGAAGTACGGAAGTACTTTTGTTCCTCCTTTCAAAGAAAATAACCTACAATAAACTAGGCATATGAGTTCCATTGGCACCAAGGCTGTAGTATTGGATGAAGTTGCATTGATTCCTTGAATCACTAGAACTTGTAGCTTTTCTCTACCAGAAGTATTGCGGTGGATTATTATAAGACAAAAGGTGATCCTCTCAAAAAGTCCTTTCCACTTTGGTATTAGTTTAACATGGCGTATGCCAGGAGAAATGATTAGCTTCTTTTAATTTCTCAAGTTCAAGTGTTCTTAAAGCAAGCCTTTCCACTTGCATTTGTAGCTCAGCTAAACTTGCTCAAGTATTTTACCAAAAGTGAGTAGCTAGTGAGAGGTCAACATGTACAGTTTTATTCCACAAGAAGAAAGATTGTATTTATAATAAAAAAATATTCATTGTTTAAGAAAAAAAGAAAAAGAAGATCGTGACATCTTCTTATCCTTTCGTATGCACTCTTGACTTGGATGGCCACCTGTTGATCACCCTCGAAAGAAAATTCACTGCAATGATTTGATCAGAGTCTCTTAGTCCCCTCCATTTTGGTGTCTTGTTATATTTCTATGACTGTAATCCAGGAATTCAGGTGTTGATAGAACGACGTGTCGAGTTTGTCCCCGCACGCATAAAGAGCATAACACCATTAGTTTATGCCACGTTTACCCTAATAGACATCCCACAAGCTAACTCAAGCCAATAAACAAAGATCATTAGGCATCACATTAAGCACAAAGTAAGGATTTAGGCTTCTTAGCTGCACCATGTGGTAAGTAATAGTTGGTGGTGCAGCCTCCATCAAGGAAACAGCCACCTCCCACTACTGTAAGCTAATATGGCACTTCGCCTCTTCCTTTTTCTTTGTGATCATGGCTGCCCTCGTTTAAAGCATATCAGATACGTGGATGCAATGCGGGGAGTCCGTACTCGAGCTATGGAATTGCATCAAAGATTAATGGTGCAATTTAGCTGGCCCTTAATTTGATTCTTAGAGTAGTTATCATGCTTATACTTCCAATCTTGCCCTCTACCTCAACTAAGACGTGGTTGAACTTTAAATAATCGTCAAAGAGTCCAATCATCACCAGGATTTCTTCTCTTCTTGATCTTAAGAATTTGCCGAGAGTTCACTGGTTGGAAGATAAAATCCATCTGAATTTTAGCTTCTTGCTAGAAACCACTTCAGGTGTGAGAAAGGATCTGTGATGGAAGTCGCTCGCCAGTTAATAAGAGTAGCACAACAACACAAGGTTAATAGAGGGATATCTATTGTGGATCCAAGGATCTGTGTAAAAGATTTAGACAATTTAGGAGTTGAGTTCACCTAACAAGCAGTAGTGGCGTGCTTTTGAGGAGGTCATGTCGCTGATCACTTTCAAGTATACGGTATAAATATGTTGCCACGCTTGTGCTGCATATTTTCCCACTGGCAGCGAGACAGCTTATGATCAGAATCTATCTTGCTCCTAGTCGACTAAAAGTTCTTTGTTGAGGCATGGATGGGCAACTTGGCTGGGGAACTCTCGACAATGGTGAGTGGAGAAAGGGGCCTTGGACTGCCCAAGAGGATAAGCTCCTCACGGAGCATGTCAGTCTCCATGGTGACGGAAAATGGAACTCAGTCTCCAAGTTAACAGGTACTTAATCTTTAACTGCTGCTTGTCACTTGTGGTATGAGCTCATCTGCTGATGGTGGTGGTTTTGTGCTGTAGGTCTGAGGAGGAATGGGAAGAGTTGTAGGCTTAGGTGGGTGAACTACCTGAGGCCTGACCTTAAGAGAGGGAATATCACTCCACAGGAGGAGATCATCATCCAAGAGCTGCATGCCTTGTGGGGAAACAGGTATTCACGGTCGGAATAAATCGGATCATGTGTTCTTGTCTTCATTCTTCATTGCTGAACTCTATGATTCTGTAGAAGCTCAATTTTCGCACATGTAGGTGGTCTAACATAGCTCGAAGCCTCCCGGGGAGGACCGACAACGAGATCAAGAACTACTGGAGGACCCATTTCAAGAAGAGCAAGCCCTCGAAGAACGTAGAGAAGGCGAGAGCGAGATTCCTCATCAGGCAGCGACAGGAGAAGCAAGGGCAGGAGGAACAACAGCACCTGCACCAGGGTGCCCAGCAGCAACAAGCGGACATGAGAGCCGCCATGAAACGGGCGGAGGAAGCCGCGCTAGCGGAAGACATGGAAGAGACGACGTACATGTATTCCGTATCTTGTATGCTGCAAGGTGGCGGCTTTAGTGGCTACTCGAGCGATGGGTCCACCGGGGATGGCTCCTGGGGAAGCCTGTGGAATCTTGGTGACGTACCAGATGACCTATGTGCAGTGACAGCACTGTATGGAGAGCGTCGATGAATGCCATGTAAGGGATAATGTTGTTGACGCTGCGTGCACTGCGATGTCAACGAATCTGAGACTTCAAATAATTAAATACGGTGGTATCATTTCCATTTGCTTCAAATCCACGAGGGAAAACGAGTTGGTACTCGTGAATGAACTTTGTTTGGGTCTGTAATCCCTTTGGGCCGGACAAGTTGAGGTCTGTGTCACGATTTTAGCACACAGCCTCATAATGATAATGTAGCATCAGCCACTCGGGTCTAACTTCAAAGCCAAAACCATCGAAACGATGACGACTTACCCTACGAAAAGAACGAACTGGCCGAGACACGAAAAGGATCGTCATCTAGGCTCACACAAGAAAGCACGACGATCGAGAGATGACCATGGCCGCTCACGTGAGCGTTTCTCCCGCTGCTCGCGTGCTGGACTTGACGAATCGACAAAACCAAGCTTCTGCGGCAACCATCCGAACGAGTTAAAGTGCAACAGGATTTTGGAGGTGACTGAAGGGAAGGTGAGGGTAACCATTTATCGCTTAAAGAAAGGCCGAACCCATAGGCGGTGGAGACGTGAGCATACCGATCGGACACATGTACGCAAGAGATGGCAGCCAACAGTACTGAGAGCTACCGAGCCTCACTACACCTCCCACACGCGTCGCCCGTATTCCGACACCACCTCGCTATTTATGTTCCCATGCTCATCCCCACCCTGCCAGCGAAGCTGAGAACCAGCGAGGGATAGTGACGGACCGAAGATAAGCTCGTCTTGCAGCTGCATTCTGCGCTTTGGGAGCCTCACAGAGGTGATCGAGTGTTTCACTCGCTCGAGATGGCTCAGACGGTGGGACGGAACTTGGCAGCACCGCTGCTGTTCCTCAACTTCATAATGTACATAATAGTGATCGGCTTCGCGAGCTGGAACCTGAACCACTTCATCAATGGCCAGACTAATTACCCTGGTATTGTTTTCCCTTTCTTCTTTGTTTCTTAGTCAGGTTGGCCTCGCATCGAGCTAACTTGATATAGATCAGACAAGTATGTAGCAGATTTTGCCGGCTTTGAACGTATTCTTTAGTCGAAGAAACCCAACTACGTATGAGAAAAAGATATGGATTCATTAGTCGATGTTGTCGAATGAACTTGTGTCAGGTGTGGCGGGCAATGGTGCAACCTTCTACTTCCTAGTCTTCGCCATTCTGGCCGGAGTGGTGGGAGCAGCGTCCAAGCTCGTGGGAGCAAACCACATAAGATCATGGACGAATGATAGCCTTGCAGCTGCGGCCGCTTCGTCCATCGTCGCATGGGCGATCACCGCCTTAGCCTTCGGGTACACGCACAGTTTTCCCATATTTTATTCTCAGTTCAGTTTGATTTGAGCTGCTACCGGAGTGCGTTAACCTTGATGCAGAGTGGCGTGCAAGGAGATCGCCATCGGAGGCCACCGAGGGTGGAGGCTGAGAGTCCTCGAGGCCTTCATCATAATCCTGGCCTTCACACAGCTGCTCTACGTATTGCTGCTCCATGCCGGGATGTTCAGCAGCAAATATGGACCTGGGTATCGAGATCCGGACTATGTGGTGGGTGGTGGACCTGGAGAAGTGAAAGGAACCAGAATCTAGGGCCTATCAAAACTCTCAATAATGTGATCAAGGAATGGGTCGTCTCAACGTTGAAGTTTTTGGCTCAACTGTTCTGCGTTTATCCTCGTACTTCAGTCGCCAGGAATATTTATCACGATCTTGTATAGTGGTCCTTTGACTAGTTGTAGTAATACTTATCTAAGGGGCTGCGTCACCTTTGACTTCTTGTCTTAATTCATTATCATATCCGCATATATATGGAAGTATTTTAATAAATATTAAACAGTATCCAATTTATAGAAATTGCGCCATCTACAGGACAAGCCACGGAGGATCTTCATATCAAAATGATACTGCAAAACCATCCTCGAGGCTTGCTAAAGAAGAAAATATGTTTCATGCATGTGTTTCATGTGAAGCAAGAGTACTGAAGGTCTTATTTTTCTTGGATATTAATTTGATTGGGCAAAGAGTGAAAGGATCATTAAAAGTGGTCATTTCGGAAGATCAAATCTTAAAAGCAGGGGCAACTATGGGAGGAAACGATGTCCTGCATGTCCATCGTCAAATCCATCGATCAAAATCCATTACCAAATCATCAACTCTTTCTGCCGGTCAAATATGTTGCCAAGGACGTGACTGCAACGAAGCAAGTGACCTCTTCCTATAGTTAAAACGGACCTCATGAGAGCCACCCTACCATTGCTTATCATCTAACCAGAGATAATTCGAGGTTCAATAAAGGATGCAGCCAAGTGTTTGTTTGTCATAATTATAGCTCGAGTCCATCTCTATTTAGGTCGATTTGAAGCCCAGCTATTGGTCTCTTCTCAGTTGTACGCTAACACTGCACGTAATTAAGTTTGAAAAATCATGCACGTATGCTATGTGAAGCCACATGTACGAGACCGGCGCATCAATGCATGTCTGTACCATCTACCGTGCCGGTGTGGCAGCACTCGGTGTCCTGTCTCCCTCGATTGTTTCTGTTCTCATGTCTCTATCCTCTGCAACGGTGCTGACGATGATTTCCCCATGTGTATCATACCTTTAGCCGTAGAATGCTTCGCTTTCTGATGTACCGCAGCCCCACCTCTTTCCTTTATTCCTATGGAGTTCTTTGGAGGATTCCCTCCTCCCACTTCCATGGGATCAATGCTCCTCTCCATCGAAGGAGCTTCTGGGGCCACAACCCCACTGGGTCCTTCGATAATAGATGCCACTCCAGGAATCTTCCTCTCGGAAGATACTCGAGGAACCAAACATTGGCACTTTCCGACGCATATGCATGCATTCAGAAACAATCTTATCATCACTTGCAATATTCCCCACGTACTTGAATGCCTGTATTGGATATCCGAGCTACAATGGGACTGAAGTGATACATCCAAAGGCCAAATGGCCAGCTCTGAATCCTTGGAACAACTGGCAGCTTGGAAGGAGGATCGAATCATGTCCGAGACTAATCCTCTCATGGATAAACCTGGTGGGGAATACGGTACCAAAGCACTCTTGACAACCTCTAATGGTGCAGATGCGCCTCTGCCTCGAGATCAGACGAGGAACGATCGAATATCCTGTCTCTCTTTCGGCTAGCGTGCTTACTGGTTACGCGCAGAGACAGTTGAATGCATGCAGTCCTGCACTTCCTAAATGGATGCCTTGGGAAAGAAGCAAAAAAAGGAAAAGTACGTAAACCGAATTCAGTGAATGAGTCTCGAGCCATCACGATCCAATACGGCCACCGGAGCTGGAGAGACGTCAGCCACAGGCGCCAACGCAACACGTGCATCGTAGCGCCACCGAACAAATGTGCAGCTGTCCGCCATTAAGTCGCACGGAGGGCGGTCGCGCCAACACCCGTTCTCACCAGTGTCGCGCGTGACGCGTCGGCTCTTCTTCGCCAGGCTTGCCTCTGGCATCCGTCTTCGTCGTCCCAGTGCGGGGAAGACCATAGACACTAATTTGATTCATGTATTGGCCATTTCATTGCCTTTCAATGGAGTTGGGGTTGATATCTCTTGCAAGCAGGCAACAAAAGCTATTCTCCATAAATTAATATATCGATAGCGGAAGGTGGAGTCACCAGAAAGCGATAATCCAAAATAATTAGACCCCAATCCACAGTAAAAGGCGCTCTCTGGTCCAACCAACCCATCGAATCCTTTCCATCCTTTACACCGTGCTTAACATATTGTCAGGTAAACGGATTGCATCATCTTAAACTGGTGCGGAAGCACAACATGCTCTCACAGTCACTCTCCATGTTTTGCAGCATGAGTCACCGCCACCATCATCTCATCAACTTAAAGCCAATGGGACAAAGCATGAGTCGATACTCGACCTCCCCATCGTAGATGTCACTTCGGTGGAGCTTATCACGTATCGTGTCATCCTATATCGAGAAGCCGGTCTGACGCATAAAGAGCGATGCTCGCAGCAATCACAATGTACCTTCAGTCAAATGACACCTCAGTCCTTATCTTTTCCGAAGGTTTAAGCTCATAAAAGGAAGGCGGTGTGGCTCACATTTCATGTCGGCAAAATGGTTTTCTCCTCCCTTTTGTTGGTTAGGGGCCTAAACCATTACTTCAAGCATTAATCATCTTCCTGAAACTTTATCTGAATGAACTAATCCACCTATTATCGGCACATAAGGCTATCGTCATAATGGAAGAGGTTGTTCGCTTGTCTTCCTAAATTCTTTAAGAGCCTACTTCCACAATAAGCACTATTTCTCGATAAAAATATCATTAAGCTGATTGGATAAGTCTATACGAGAACTCTCCTTAAAATTTTCTTTTAGATTTTTCTGAATGATGTTCCCTAATTTAAATTATTTTATTTAGTTTTTTTATAATATTATAAATAATTTTTATTTATTTTTTATTTTATTATGATCATCTTCCTCTTTAATTCACCTTTAATGTCCATCGTTTTAATCATATCATTGTTCGTGATTTCATCATCAAATATGATGAAGGAAAAAAAAATAATCACGATGGAATCAAAACAATTAGATGAAAAAGGAGGAAAGTGTAGAGAGAAATTATAGAAAAATAAGAGCATCAAAAAGGTCAAAATAAGATATAATTTAAAAAATAAAAAAAATAAATTTTCTATGAAAGTCATCCCATACTTCAAAATTAAAACTAATATTGATAAATTATTCTTTTACAATCTATATATAATGATAAATTTGTTCTTTCAAGAGACAATTCAGAATCATGCATAAGTTGACAAATATAGAATTACATTATCAGAAAATAATGAACTAAAATTAGTAATAAATCCATAAAATACTACATATAAATACATTTATATAATTATAGGATAAAACATCTTATATTATTCCTGGCAAATATCCTATCGTAATATCCTTATATCCTAATCCTACTTTATTTGCATGCAAAACCACACATCCACACTGATCCCTTCTCCACCCTCCTTCTATATAAGAGTAAATCCTGGAACTGTGGCATCATCAGCCGTGGACAAAGCAATCGCCACTTGATCCGACGCAACCCCCTCGGCAAAGTCAGTAACACCAAGCACCCTCTTCCCCTGCTCTTCATCTCCGGAATAGGCTCGCAAGATCATCCCATCAGCTTGCTGTGGGAGAGAGAGCAGTAGAGAGAGGAGACGGAGGGAGGAGAAGGCTTTGGATTTTAGAGCATATAACCACAACCCATTCCTCTGTTCTGCCTCCCTACCCCTCTATCGGTCACTCACACCTCTCAAAATCCCAGCTTTGGAATCATCGGACGGGGAAGAGAAAGAAGGGAGGAGGTGGAACGAGGGAGGGAGCCCCACAGACAAGGTCGGTAAAGATTGGATTTTTTTGTTTCTCTCGAGAATTTTCCTCTGGTTTTGGCTTGTCTCTTTGCGAAAAATTTCCTTTTATTTTTATTAGGTGGGATGATCAGGAAGGCGCTTTTGTTTCCATGTGCAGTGTGTCATCAGCTGCTATAGAACAGACATCAATCGCTCTGCAGCCTGTTGCCGTTTGTTAGTTCTCCTCCTCGCATTTAATCCTATTCATACCCTTGATGGTGAAATGCCCGTAGCGGAAATCTTCGCCTCGGCCCGCTACCATTCGAGATCTCTCATCGATATCCGACCCTTGGCAGGGCTATGGTTTCCTTTTCCATCATCAGCTCGTTCGGCGACCTCCCTTTTCCCGAGCGGGTCGCGGCCGCCACCCATGCATCGTTGCTTCTCTTCTTCCTGTTCTTTGCCTCCGCACGGCGAGTTTTCGCCTGCGCCATCCGCCGGGTTCCGGCTCTCAAGGATGATGGCCGGAGCCCTCTCCCCGTTCGCCGCGATCCTGGTTGCGATCGGCTTGTAGAAGTCGGTTATTGGTTCAAGGTCACAACTTTCTGCTGCTTCTTTGTTTTCTTCCTTCAAGCGGTGGTCTTGGGGTATGAAACCGTGAAGTTGGTTACAGGAGAGGTCGAATCCAGAGATTTTACGCTTCTTTACCTGCCTTCCGTGCAAGCATCCGCGTGGCTTGTCTTGGGCTTATCGGTATTTCATTGTAAATTGAAGGCATTGGTTAAATTTCCATGCTTGATTAGGGTATGGTGGTTTATTTCATTCATCTTCTCTCTCTACATTGGCTACCTTGATACCAAGGAATTGATAACCAAGTCGATCAGTCTAAATTCACATACGCTTTCAAATTATGCTGCGTTGCCTGCCCTTGCTTTCCTTTTCCTTGCCTCAGTTCGAGGTATCACATCTATAGAACTTTATAGGGAACATGGAGACCTCAGGGAACCATTGCTTGCTGGAGAAGACGAAGCTGGATGTCTTAGAGTCACCCCCTACAGCGAGGCAGGTCTGTTTAGCCTTGCAACTTTGTCGTGGCTTGATCCGCTCTTGTCAGTGGGTGCAAAAAGGCCCTTAGAGCTGCGGGACATACCTTTGCTAGCCACAAAAGATCGTTCGAAGACTTGTTACAAGATACTGAATTCAAATTGGGAGAGGTTGAAAGCTGAGGACCCTGAGAATCAGCCATCACTGGCATTGGCTATTTG